TCAAGCATGCCTGTAATGTACGCGTGTGAGCAGGCCGTGCCTGGTATGCTACGCGGTGGCGGCGGTGCCCTGTATGTTACGCGTGTGACAGCTGCTGTATGGTACGCGTGTGCAGCGTGCTCTGTATGTACCGGCACGCCTATGTAAGCTTGGCAGCGTGCCTAGTATGTAGCGTTGTGGCCAAGCTGTGCCTGTGTATGTACGCTTGTGCAGCGTGCTGGTATCGTAGGTACCGTTGTGCAGCCGTGCCTGTCTGTACGCGTGTGGGCAAGCCTGTGCTCGGTATACGCGTGGCAGCGTTGCCGTATGTACGCGTGTGACGACGGTGCCTGTATGTATCGCGTGTGCAGCGTGGCCTGTTATGCTACGCGTTGTGGCAGCGTGCTTGTGATATATGTACGCGGTGCGCGTGCTATATGACGCGTGCGCTGCCATTATGTATGTATGTAGTACGCGTGCGCCAGCGTGCCTGCTGAATGTACGCGTGTGGCAGCGTGCCTGATTTGACGCGTGTGGCCAGCGTTGGAACTGTATGTGATGCACGCGTGTGGCACGTGCTGTATGTATGTACGCGTGTGGCACCCGTGTCTGTAACTGTAGCCGTGTGGCAGCGTGCCTGTATGTATGTACGCGTGTGCAGGTGCCTGTATGCTACGCGTGTGACACGCGTGCGCCTGTGAGGTACCGCGTGTGGCCAGCGGCCTGTATGTACGCGTGTGGGCAAACGCTGCCTGTATGTACGCGTGTGACAGCGTGCTTGTATGCACACGTGTCGCAGCGTACCTGTAGTTACGCGTGTGGCAACGTGCCTGTAGTACGCGGTGCAGGGCCTGTATGTATGTACGCGTGTTGGCAGGCGTGCCTGTATGATGTACGCGTGTTGACAGCGTGTGCCTGTATGTACGCGTGTGGCAGCGTTAACCGTGCCCTGTATGTACGCGTGTGGCAGCGTGCTCCTTGTGGTGTACGCGTGTGGCACCGTGCCTGTATGTACGCGTGTGGCAGCGTGCCTGTATGTATTAACCATATTAAATGCATATTCATTAGAAAATATAACTCCTCTGGTAAAATATTGGTCATGTGTAACAGTGCGGCGCGTAGAGTTTGTAATTAGTAAAAGTATTGTATAAGAATTGTAGCGACAGGACTTTAGCGCAACATTTACTGTAATGAGTACGCGAGCGCGATGCTAGGTATCAAGAGCAGATAAAGAAGGAGAGCGTACAACGGTAAAATGCTGAAACCATGCTGCAGTATTAGTCGATAATAATTTCCCGTGTTATTCTGACGATTTTTTGCAGTATTATTGATTAGCTGTGTCCGCATGTCCCTACGATGTCCCTACGCTGAGATAATGAGCGGTGAAAATCTGGTATTTTCGCCGAAAACCGACTGGAGATCAGTCAGTTACTGCGGTCTGTCTCTCGAAGTGTTATTACTCGGAAAACTCGCGTGTTTCCGTCAATGATTGACAAATGGAATGAATGACGTTCTGTTATTGTTGCCATAGTTGATGACCCCCACCTGTGCCCACCTCACGCCCACCTCACGCTTGGATGTATAGTAAACTCTGGTAGTATTACGTGCGAGTCAGCGCCACTATGGCGCTACACAGCGGCGACCGGAAGCAACACACTGGAAACACTTCGAGAGACAGACGCAGTAACTGACTGATCTCCAGTCGGTTTTCGGCGAAAATACCAGATTTTCACCGCTCATTATCTCAGCGTAGGGGCATCGTAGGGACATGCGGTTTGTTTTATATGAACAAGGTAAGACAGCTAATCAATAGCACTGCAAAGGATCGTCAGAATAAAACGGGAAAAGTTTATTAATTCGACTAATACTGCAGCATGGTTTCAGCATTTTACCGTTGTACGCTCTCCTTCTTTATCTGCTCTTGTAGGTATTATGCGTTGGCGCTGCTGTCGCAGAAGAAAGGATACGTTTTAGTAGAGAACAAAGCGAGGCTTGGCGCGCATTTAGTTGGAGATTGTTTGTTTGTGTAGTTTAGCGAATTTGGTGAGATACCGGCAATATTTGGTAGGTTTAGTGTCAGAAGTTATAAATAAGTATTTTGGAATGTACGGGGAATTTGCTTGAATAGCTATTAGTCTATCTTGTGTGTATACACGAATGTTTATCGTATCAAACATTGGATTTATGTTCGATTTAGCTCGTCTAATTTACCGAAAATATCCTACTATACGCGCCGCTGTATATGTACTAGAGCCAACGAAGTTATTATTGTTTGTTTATATTGCAGTAAACCACTAGATGAATACAGTCATCAACTTGGTGCTTATTTGTGCGTGACTAGTGCGTTTAAAATCAAGGGCCGAAATTCGTGACGCTACATAAAAAGTTTACAAATACTGGTATATTTTCTGGATATGGCAGACCTCGAAAGCCTGAAAAGATCCAGAGCTGGTTACAAAGGACTTGTGACAAAGTTGTATACAGAAGTAGAGAGATTGCTGTGTTCATTTGACAATTTCGATCTTGTTAAGCAGAAAGTACAGGATCTCCAGAGGGCGTTTGATCAATTATGTGCGGTCAACGAACAATACATTAGTGAAGTAGATTCGTCCGAAGCACTTACAGTGAACGAGGAGTTTGAGACGCAACATCGAAACAAGGCAGAGTTCGACCAGCGAATAGAAGACTGGATGAAACAGAGGAATTCACCTAAATCTGTTCGTTCTGAAAATGGTTCAAGGAAGTCAGATCAGAAGAAAAAGGGTGCATTATTAGAACTGAGACTACTACAAAGAAAACATGAGTTAGAGAGAAGGAAACAGGAGTTAAAACAGGAAGAAGAACTTTTAGAAGTTGAGGCAAAGTTAGAAAGAGAAAGGCTGGAAGGAGAGTTATCTGATGAAGACGATGATGGCAACCGTGGCGACATCACTATTGCCAAGCGACCAGATGACCGATTCTTCGCAGGAGGGATAAAACCAGAGCCCGATGTACCGGCCGCCAGATACGTAAATACGAATCTTGAACCCAAGATTGAAGCCACAAGTGGCAGCACACAGCAGGTACTACAGTCATTGGCAGCAGTCATTGATCTTCCTCGTCCGGAACTTTTGACCTTTGATGGGGATCCCAAAAAGTATTTCAAGTTCATCAGTAATTTTGAGACAAGTATTGGGAGCAGGAATCTGGACGATAGGATAAAGTTGAGTTATCTTATTCAACAATGCTCTGGACCAGCAAGGGACTGTATCGAGGATTGTGTTATTTTGGATCATGGATTTGAGCGAGCTTGTGACATTTTGAGAAGGCGATTTGGGAGAGCATACATCGTTGCAAATGCCCATATCTCTGAGATCGTTGATGGACCTCCACTGCAAGGGAATGATGGGAAAGGTTTGCAGAGGGTAGCTGATGACATGAGAAGATGCGAGTTGGTCTTGACGCAGATGGGGTATCAAGCGGACATGAATAATACCGAGAATCTTCGGAAGATTGTACGACGGCTGCCTTTCCACATCAGAGCAAGATGGGTAGACAAAGCAGATAGGTTTCTTGAAGCTGGTGTGGAGCCCAATTTTGCTCACTTGACCGAATTCGTAGAGGAAAGGGCCAGAGTCGCGAACACCGCTTATGGTCATGATCTGAATGCATCCCCAGCACACAACAGTAAACCAGCTCTGAGAAATAGTCACAGTAGCAGAAGAGGTACATCTTTCTCTATGCAAGGCAACAATGTAGGACACACTGATTATAACAGAGTTTCAGATTCAGGGAGATGGAGGAACAATAGCTGTCCCTGCTGTTCTGGTTCACATCAGTTATCAGCTTGCAGAGCTTTCAGCGAGAGACCCTTCGCTGAGAGGAGGAAAATTATGCGGGACAACAAGATGTGTGACAACTGTTTCAGGAGAGGACACTTCGCAAAGGGGTGCATGGAGAGAACGGCATGTGATGTTCAGGGTTGCAAGTGGAAGCATCACAAATTGCTGCATCCGCCACCTATGAATAGAAAACCCGATGATCAATACGGTAGTGCAAGCTCAGATTCCAGGAACTCAAGACCAGAGAAACAGGATTCCGCAAGTGGAAACTGTGCTTCTACTATGGCCAACAGAGACAGCGTGTGTCTTAGAATTGTGCCAGTTCGAGTGAAAGGTCGCGGGACTAAAGAGACTGAGGTATATGCTTTGTTGGACAACGGTTCAGATATCTCATTGTGTACAAGTAGGCTCGCCGACCAATTGGGATTGCGTGGGAAACCGAAAACTTTCTCCTTGACAACGGTTTCGGACCAGAATCACTTGCAGACAGGACGAGAAGTTTCGTTGTCTGTGAGTGGCTTGACTGCATCGGAAAGCATAGACATTGATAGAGTTTGGACGGTTAAGGACATGTCGATTCCCATATCAAGTATTCCAAAGAAAAAGGATGTTGATACATGGGGACATCTTCAAGGGTTGAACTTGCCAAAGATTGACAAGAAGGAAGTTTCACTTCTCATTGGAGCCCAACGTACCAGAAGCCTTTTGGGTATTGAAGAACGACGTGGCCGACGGAAGGAGCCATACGCAATCGCTCTCCGTTGGGGTGGTCGTTGATGGGTCCGATTGGAAGGGAGAATGAAGCTGACAGACAAAGAGCTTCCATTAATTTCGTACACAGAGAAGAAGACTCCTTGTGTCAACAAGTCGAGAGATTTTGGCAGATGGACTACGATGAACCCAAAGTGAGTGCTGATCGGGTGATGTCAGTAGAAGATCTCAAAGCGTTGAGTAGAATGGAGAAGTCGATTGTTCACATCGACGGCCATTATCGTCTAGACCTACCATGGCGTAACGAACCTCCATGCTTGCCAAACAACAAACAGCTTGCAGAACGCAGGTTGGAGTCTCTTAAGAGAAGATTCCAGAGGGATGAAGAATTATTCCGAGAGTACAAGAGCATCATTGAGAGCTACATTGAGAAAGGGTACGCTACCAAGGTGACCTCAGCATCTGACGCAGAGGGAGGTACATTCTGGTATCTCCCACACCACGCCGTTGTTCATCCGCACAAGAAGAAATTGCGAGTAGTCTTCGACTGTGCAGCGAAATACAAAGGCACCTCACTGAACGATCAGCTGCTACAAGGTCCTGATTTGACCAACAGCTTGGTCGGGGTTCTGATTCGGTTCCGTCAAGAGCCGATCGCTGTGAAAGCTGACATTGAAGCCATGTTTCACCAAGTGAAAGTGACTTCTGCGCACTGTAATGCCTTGAAATTTCTGTGGTGGGAGGAAGGCAACCTCGACAAAGAACCAGAAGAGTACCGCATGAGAGTTCACCTGTTTGGGGCGACGTCGTCGCCTAGCTGCGCAAACTTTAGCTTACGGAAGACAGCTGAGACTAATGCTTCACACTACGATGCTGAGACACGTGAAACGGTAGAAAGAAACTTCTACGTCGATGATCTTTTGAAATCTCTCAAGTCAGTGGGAGATGCTACGAACATTGTTCGACAGTTGTGTGACCTACTAGCAGAAGGCGGATTCCGGGTTAACGAAATGGATTAAACGAACAGCGGGAAGTCTTGGGTCAAATAGCAGAGGAAGACAATAGTTCATCACTAGTCGATATGGACTTGGGAGATTTGCCAGTCGACAGGGCATTGGGTGTGCAATGGAACACTAAAGCAGACACATTCCAGATTGCATTGTAAAGAAGCAGAAGCCCTTCACAGACGAAAGATCTCTCGGTCATCAGTTCCCTGTATGATCCTCTGGGGTTTGTGGCTCCTGTGATATTTCCAGCAAAGAGATTACTGCAAGATCTCTGTGAACAGAAACTTGGGTGGGATGAACCTGTAGGCGAAAGAGAAGCAAGGTGCTGGAAGGTATGGCTTGACGGGCTAGACCTGCTGGATGGCGTATCGATACCCAGGTGTTTGAAGCCGGAAGGATGCGACATGCCCGCCACAGTTCAGTTACAAGTTTTGCAATTTTTGCTGACGCCTCCCAGAGCGGATATGGGGCTGTTTCTTACTTGAGGTTCGTCGCAAATGACAGAAGACTCACTGTTTCTTATGATGGGGAAATCACGGCTAGCTCCCTTGAAGACCGTAACTATCCCAAGACTTGAACTGATTGCAAGCCGTAGTGGCGGTGAGATTGGATCGGACGATTTAGATCAGAACTGGATATTCAAGTAGATGAGTCGATATTTTGGACAGACTCAATGATAGTTCTACAGTACATCAGAAACGAATCCAAGAGGTTCAAGACATTCGTTGCCAATCGTCTGGCAATAATCCATGAAGATTCGATGCCGAACCAGTGGAGATATGTCAATTCCGATTTAAACCCTGCAGATGACGCGTCAAGGGGTTTCAGATCTAGTGAGAGTGAGAAAATGAGAAGATGGTTGTCTGGCGCAGGCTTTTTGTGGGGAGACGAAACCTGCTGGCCAAAGCAACCTGACTTTATATCTGACGTAGAAGAGAAGACCCTGAACTCAAACAAGAGACCAAGTCGGTTTTCGCTGCTGTCAAGGAGGATTACATGGAGACATTGCTCAGTCGCTTTTCATCTTGACACAAAACTCCAAAGAGCGGTGGCCTGCGTGGTTGCTGCGCTCAAGGAGTATTGCTGATAAAGAAGGACGCTCGCGTGAGTGAGATTAAGAAGGGAAAATATTGCAAAAGTAAAAGAATGCGAAAATGCTACACTGGAGATTGTCGGAAACGCCCGCGAGAAAGCTTTTCTGAATCGACGTCCGGCGAAACAGGAACCTCACAGGGGAAATGCAACCCTCTTCGGAAATTGAATCCCATACTTCGTGGTGGAGCTCTCAGGGTAGGCGGACGACTAGAAAATGCGCCGATTGGGTTTGACGCGAAACACCCACTCATTCTACCTAGTAGGCATCACGTGACGGATCTGATTATTGAGCATTACCATTCCTTGGCTGGTCATTTGGGACCAATGTATGTCTTGTCATTAATCAGACAGAACTTTTGGATCTTGAAAGGACATGCAGCTGTGAGACGCGTGGTAGGGAACTGCTTCGACTGTAAAAGAAGAAATGCCCCCCTGGGAGAGCAATTCATGGCACCCCTACCTGAAGTAAGGTTGACACCAGAAACGGCGCCATTCACCTCAGTAGGAGTTGACTACTTCGGGCCCATGGTGGTGAAGCAAGCTCGGAGTCAGGTGAAAACGTTATGGTGTCTCTTCACATGCATGACAACCCCGAGCGTGCATATCGAGATAGCACACAGTCTTGATACTGATTCCTTTTTGTTGGCTCTGCAGCGATTCATCGGTCGCGAGGTAGACCAGAGAAAGTGTATAGTGACAATGGGCACCAACTTCAAGGCTGGTGATCGAGTATTTGAAGGAGCCTTGAATGATTGGAACCAGAAGAAAATTGATAGTTCACTTTCCCAGCAAGACATTCAGTGGCATTTCAATCCCCCAGGTGCTAGTCACATGGGGGGCGTGTGGGAAAGGATCATCAGGAGCGTCAGACAAATACTGAACGCAATCATGAGAGAGCAGGTGGTCACGGACGAAACACTTTTGACTGTAATGGCGGAGGTCGAAAGAATTCTGAATGACAGGCCACTCACACCAATCAGCAACGACCCGATGGATCAGAAGCCGTTGACACCAAGCGATCTTCTGCTTCTCCGATCAAACACGAGTTTACCCATGGTATTCCTCAAGAGCGGAGAACGTCTAAGGTGGCGTCAAGCACAATATCTGGCGAGCCTTTCTGGAGGAAGGTGGAGAGAGAATATTTGCCTTCCTTGCAAGTGAGACAAAAGTGGATGTCGCCAAAGCGCAACTTAAGAGTTAATGACATGGTGCTGGTTGCGATGCAAGAATGCCAAGAGGACAATGGCGCTTAGCTCGCGTGGTTCAGGTGTTTGCAGATAAAGCAGGATATGTCCGCTCTGCAAAGGTGCGGACCTCTGCGTCATGTTATGAGAGACCCATTACAAAGCTCTGTTTCTTGGAGGGTGATGATCGGCCACGTCCGGCTCGTGAAGGTACGGACTCTGCAGCGGGTGAGAAGGCACCATCACCTGATTCCCCAGACGTGTGTATCCATCCTCCAGAGCAGGAGCCTCTTATGCAGAAGTCAGTCGGTGTTCCAGACATTGGAGATGGCCAGCCACCTAGTGCGAGACGAACCAGGGAGGCTGTTCGTGTACGACGTACACCAAAGCGATTGGCGGACTATGTACTTACATGAGTGCTTGCTGAAGTTGAAATGTTTGGTGTTCATTAGACAAACATTATGTGACGAAACCTTGAGAATGTTTCCTTACGTTGACGGGAAACTATCACACTGTGACAAATGTCAGATCTTTTCGAATTGTTTTATTTCAAATTGTTGAACCAGACTTGTATATGCTGTATATGCTAGCAGATAGCTAGTTGTTTCGTATTTCACGAAGGGTTGTTTGTGATCGCTCTGTCGCTAGTATAGTTAAGATTAATGAACATGTGTATGTATGTGTGTTGATTAGGGGCCGGGATGTAGCGACAGGACTTTAGCGCAACATTTACTGTAATGAGTACGCGAGCGCGATGCTAGGTATTATGCGTTGGCGCTGCTGTCGCAGAAGAAAGGATACGTTTTAGTAGAGAACAAAGCGAGGCTTGGCGCGCATTTAGTTGGAGATTGTTTGTTTGTGTAGTTTAGCGAATTTGGTGTTAATTGGGCGCAGTAATTCTACAGGAGGGACGCCCTGTGGCGTATGCATCTAAGTCTCTCACTACCACGGAAGTTGGTTATGCTCAGATAGAGAAAGAGCTTTATGCGATACTGTTTGGCTGTAAAAGGTTTCACCAGTATGTGTACGGAAAGCAAACATTGGTAGAGACGGATCACAAACCGTTGACGGCTATCTTTAGCAAGCCTTTGCATGTTGCACCGCCACGATTGCAACGCATGTTATTACAGTTGCAGAAGTATGACATTGTGTTGAAGTATGTAAGAGGAACGGAGATTCCGGTGGCTGACACGTTGTCACGCAATTTTGTGTCGAATACATACCCAGAGTTCTCGGATAAGCTAGAGGTACATGTGCACACGGTTCTGTCATATCTGCCCATCAGTGACGTAAGATTGCAGGAAGTAAAAGCTGCTACGGCTGCAGATGCGCAGTGTGAGTCGTTAGTGCAGTGTATTATGACAGGATGGCCTCGTTTAAGGAAAGATTGTTCCCCGTCTGTCGTCGAGTTTTGGAATATTCGGGATGAGCTGACCATTCTTGATGGCATCATCATGAAAGGTCATAAGATTTATATTCCTAGTGAACTGCGTACACGGTTTCTAGAGAATATACATGCAGGACACATGGGAGTAGGAAATGTCTCTCGAGGGCGAGAGATATTGTGTTCTGGCCAGAATAACGGCCGAAATCACAGATATGGTACTGAGGTGTGAAGTGTGTCTAGAGCGTAGGAATCTTAATGTTAAGGAACCCCTAACGTGTCACAAGGTTCCTGAGTACCCATGGCAGGTTGTTGCCAGTGATTTATTTCACCTGGGAAGGGAGTGATTATTTAGTTGTTGTGGATTACTACAGTCGGTTCTTTGAGTTGAAAAGT